TTACCAAACATTGTAAGAATGGCTTTTCTCTATTTTGCATGATGTTCCAATGATATACTGTATTCTGAACCGGTGAGAGCATTTGCTTGTGTAACGATTTAGATTTTATGTGTTGTGTTATTCCGTACTAGTTTGAAAAATGCTTGTTGCGGCGTTATGCCTGGGAGGATGGGCCTAAAAATAACCACAAGAATGGACAGTGTTTTTGTGTTGATATCGGTAATCTCACAAAGTTTGTTTCAGTTCGTACACTCCTACAACGGACGAGTGAAAAATCTTTTCGAATTCGATGCTTGTTCGGAGTTGACGAGCGTGTCAAAAATGCAGGTTTTGCCAGAGACAGCAGCAGACAGAGGTCAATAGGGGTCATTGGAAGACTCCACTGTTACGGAGTTAGAGGTACCGACTGTAAATTATTGATGGATTCTTGTAAATTCTAAGCGTCCCCACAGCCAATGAATGAAAAAGTACATGTGTGTAGTCACTGTGTTTTGTATCATTATTATATTAGGCATTGTATGATGTGATAGATTCGTAAAAATGATATCAGACACCCCTAAAAAGCAATAGAATCACCCAAGCCCAGAATGCATTGTACGATCTAGTTACCTTGGTTACGCATGCGTGAGCAGTGCGCATGTGCGCATATATAAACAGCCCGCGTCACTTCAAGTCTAATACTAGTCACAACGCCAGTAACAACGCCAGCTAGTACCTCTAAACCACACTCGGAACTCGGATTTACAAGCTTGGAGCCTGACTAGTGGTGAAGCTGCCGATCTATCATGGTACAAAGGTATGAATTTTGTCCAATAATGGTCAGTTTTAGTGGTTACTTGTTGGTTTGGCCGTAATGTTTGGCATAGTTTTACTTTTTAGCGTCTTTTCGTACGACTTCTTCTCCTCATTGTTCTCCGTTTTCGTTTTGTGTGCTTTTGATAGTTGTGGAAAAGTCGACCATCAAGAAAAGTGCATTGTAAAAGACGTAAAAAAACACGAAAAGACGCTAAAAACCGGCTCCTAAAAACCGTAACAAATCTCTTGTAAACTAAAGTGGTAGCGAGGAAAAGAACATACGTGCAAAACACCGTTGTAGTGAGCAAAAATTATGTACGCCCGTCCCGTGCCGACGATCTCAAAGACAACGTTGTACACACTTACCGGTCGATTCGGTGATATGTCTTATCAAAATGGTCCGTTAAAAATATAAATACGTCGCTGTTCTCCCGCTCGTTGTGCGTGCCCACGGAAACCTCGTTTATTTTGAGCACGTCTTTGAACTGATTTGGCCGACAGGTCCCTCCACGCACCCATGTAGTAAAAATGCCCGGCCTTCGGTCGCACATTATACGGTCGCAAAATGCGTGTCTACCTGGCTCTTAGTGAGGAAATACACATGCGGGTAAATTTGGGACGCCTCGAGGAAATGCACGCAACGGTAGTTCGTCAGGCTCGGTCCGGCATTACGGCGTTCTGCCCTCCACTTTTGCGCCCACAAGATGCGTGCTTACTCGGTTTGTAGTGAGGAATTCCACGGGCGTGCAAGGTCAGCGCAGCGCGAGGACATACACGCGTGCGAACTCAGCACAGCGCGAGGAACGGCACGCGTGCAAACAATCGCGGAAATGAGTATCGGCACGCGTGCAAACCGACGTAAGTTGAGTAACCTCACGTCGTGCAAAACCT